CTAAGCCTTACACCCCAAACCGTGTAGGTCCTAAGCCCCAACCCTAAACCCTACACCCTACACCCTAAACCCTTTACCCTAAACCCTAAACCCCAAACCCTAAACCCTAACCCTAAACCCTTAAAGCCCGAAACCTTGGTCTTGGGCCCCAGCTCCTCAAACGGATCGAACTTTGCCTTGGCCCAGCTGCGCTTCAGGTCTCATAGGGTTAGAGTTTGGGGTTTAGGGTTTAGGGCTTGGGGTTTAGGGTTTGGGGTTTAGGGTTTAGGGCCATAAAACGTGAACATAGAGCACCGTGGGAGTTCTTCCCAGAGGTGAAACAGCAGGGCGAGTGAGAAAGCTGCTGAGGCCTGCACCGGCTGGTAGTAGCCTGGGCTTCTGGGTTTAGGGTTTCGGGTTTAGGGTACAGGGTTTTGTCGGCTTCTTGGGGAATGCCGAGGTTTAGTGGCGTTGGTAAACCCAATCAGGGTTCAGGGTTTGTGCAAGTTCCAATCTCTCAGTATGTGAAGACGTCGTGCTGCAAACATATGGGCTCTTTGCGCCCCTGTAATTATAATGCTGCAAGCACGCGCCATGAATAGAAGCATTACAAGTGCGTGATAATGGTAGCCCAAAACCCAAAACCCTAAACCCTTGTCTTCGCCCAAGAATGAAGCCCTAAACCCTATAGCGCGCACGGCGGCAGGCCTCCGCCCAAAAGATACTCGGACCCCTACGGACGTACCCCGAATAGAAGCCTAAGGTTCCCTTAACATACTCCTACCATGGCGCCTAGATTTTCTTGGGGGACCCGTTAAAGAAGCGTCCCCGAACCCAAAGGTGCAATTTGAGGCTTCCAAGGTAGAATCCCATGAGACAACTCACGCAGAAACCCGAACCCCTAACGAACCCTAAGCCCTAAGCCCTAAGCCCTAAGCCCTAAGCCCTAAGCCCTAAGCCCTAAGCCCTAAGCCCTAAACCCTAAACCCTAAACCCTAACCCCATAAAGCCGACACCAATGAGGGCCAGGCGTGCAGCTCCCTGGCGCCATCTCGCAAAAGGATCCTGCAACGCAGGATGAAAGGAAAGCTGAGTCTCAGGATCTGCGGGTTTAGGGTTTAGGGTTTAGGGTTTAGGGTTTAGGGTTTAGGGTTTAGGGTTTAGGGCTAGGGCTTAGGGCTTGGGGCTTAAGGATCCGGATGGAACTTCCAGGCTTTCGCAACAAGTCTGATGCCTAAGTGGCCCAGCCGGTCTCAAGTGACTCCACAGTTGCCAGAAGACTTGACGTGGGTTTAGGGTTTAAGGTTTAGGGTTTAGGGTTTCGGGCTTCGGGCTTGAGGGTTAAGGGTTAAGGGTTTAGGGTTTGGGGTTTTGCCCTCTGAATGTCGGTTTAGGCTTTTTAGGGTGCCCGATTTAGTCCGGCACCCTCAACAAGATGCCTAAAGGGGACCCTCGTTTTCGAGAGCTACCCATGTATGAAGAGGGTTCAAGATGGGGTTTAGGGTTTAGGGTGGAAGACTTGCAGGAAATCGGGAGATGAGATGATTTCTTTCTCGGCCTTTGTAGAGCCGGCGGTCTATATTAAGTCTTTGGGCTCAGATATGGCTCATCGTTCCGTCTGTTTCTAGTCGAAGAGGATGTTCCCCAGGCTCTGGGAAGTGTGTGCAGCGCTTCCCTGTGTGTTGATGCGTGCTTGTCGATGCACACTACAGTATCAGTGGTACAAGCACAACATCCGCAGCCATATTGCTGCTGCATGAAAATGTGACATGTCAAAGCCGTCACAGACCCTTGCTCATGCCAACCCACTCCCCTAAGATCAAAACCCCCCACCCCCAGCTTAGGAATCTTTTGCTCCGAGACGGCGGGCAGCCGTGGCACTTTCTTCGGATCCAGGGATCCGGGTGCAAGGTTGTAAAGAGAGCCCTACCCTAGGGGTTTAGGGTTTAGGGTTTCGGGTTTAGGGTTTAGGGTCCCTACCTGTGACCCTAAGCCCTAAGCATGCTTCAAAAGTAGCTGCCTGGGGTTCACATTCAGCTCGCCCCCCTTCTCTGCCTCTGCAGTCCTAGCTTAGGGTTTAGGGTTTAGGGTTTAGGGCTAGGACATCAGCCCTGGATCCTCCAAGGTCGTCACTCACCTACCCTCACGAAAGCTGCACTCGAAGTTCGTCACTTGCTCCGTGAACTGCCCATCCCGCGTCTTCAGGCCTCTATGCAGGGGTTTAGGGTTTAGGGTTTAGGGTTTAGGGCTTAGGGTTTAGGGTTTAGGGCTTAGGGTTTAGGGTTTACGGGGGAAACTTGTAGTTTCAGCCTGCGCCATCAACCCAGAAGCCTTAAAATCTAACTCTGAACCCTCAAACCCTAAACCCTAAACCTCAATGCCTTGACCTTAAGCCCTATATCCCAAACTGCCCTGAGCTGAGAGTGTTGGTGTTGGACTGCTTCATCATGAAAGCCGCCATGCTTGTGGGGTCAGCTATATGCAGTCTGCGGACTGCAGTCGCTCCAAACCTGGCTTTAGGTTTAGGTTTTGGGGTAAACCCTGAATCCTAAACCCTAAACCCTAAACCCTGAACCCTGAACCCTTAGCTCTAAAAACCCTCAAGCTTCCGGATCGCCCAAACCCCTGAAGCGCTAAAACCCCAACACCCCAAACCCGCACCCCAAGTTCCCAAAGAGCCCAATACCCCTTAACTAAGAAATACACCTTAAACCATCTAGGGATCCTGAACTAGACCCAGGAGTAACCTAGGAATAAAAGGGGTGCCCTTTTTGGATTTAAGGGGATTCTAAGGGAACCCCAACCCTAAAAAACACGGGAAAAAGTGCCTACACCGGTCCTAGTAGGGACCCTTAATAATCATAATGAATGCTCCTTAAGGAATACACCTTAAACTTAAACCATATAGGGATCCTTAATACGCCTTTAAGGTCCTAAACCCTAATCCCTAATCCCTAAACCCTAAACCCTAAACCCTGTTCCTGAATTAATAGGGGTCGTGGGCTCCCTGGGTTGGGAGTGGGCCCTCTGGTGGCGCAGCCTAAACCCTAGCCGGTTAAAAGCCTCGGAGCACGTTTAGGGTTTAGGGTTTAGGGTTTAGGACCTAACCCAAATCAACCGAAACGACCCCCAACCACGGGAGAAGAAAAGGAGCACTAACGTAATCAAACAGTTGCCCGCCACATTCACTCCCCCACTGCCCACTCCCCACTCCCCCCTAAACCCTAAACTCTGAACCCTAAGCCCGAAACCCTAAACCCTAAACCATCTGAGTCCTCGCATGACGAGATATTCCCTGGCTTTCCGCTTCTGGGCCTGTCGGCTCGTGCCGATGTAGGGCTAGACTTGGATAACCCCATTTAGGGTACTTATAACTTGGTAGCCCATGTACCATCAAATTGTAATAGGGTACCACTGGGCGACCAAGATAACCCTACTTCTAACTACCCATAGGGCTATAAGTAGGGTTAGAAGTAGGGTGAAAAGTAGGGTTATAAGTATGGTAACTATATACTTCTAACCCCATTTGATGTACTTATAACCCTACTTCTAACTACCCATGAACCTCACAGCAGGGCAAACAGGGCAGGCCTCCCCCAACCTCAGCTCGAAGCTCTAAACCCTAAACCCCAAACCCCCAACCCTAAACCCTAGACCCTCAAGGTCAACACAAGAAGAAGAAGAAGACCTCACCAACCCCATGGGCCAAGGAACCTTTTTTTGATAGCCGTCTTCTGCCGTAGAAAAGGGAAGCTCCACATTTCTTGTCAGGGTACATTTAGGATAAGCCGAGGTGATCCTCATTCCTGACAGTCAAAAGTATGCAAGTCCTAAATATGGTGACGTCGCTAAAATCTCATGAACGGCAACGCAGAACATGCACGCCTCGACCAACTTCTGCTTGGCTTCTCGCTTCCGCTTCTTCCGCAGCGCCGCGGAATCAGTCGAGGAAGACGACGAAGAACCTCGGCCACTGGGGGTTTAGGGTGGGGTATCTATTTTATAGCGGGATATGTAGTGGTTCGTATTGGGGTATATAGGGACTATCCGCTGACGCCCCGTCTATGCCCTGGCCGCCCCCACCCCCACCGCTCCTTCTCTGAAATCGGCGGCACTGGCGGTAGCCGTCAAATATAAAGGTGTAAAGGCAACAAACAAAGAGTCCGCCGGCCTTTATAAAGGCCGCACGCCAAACCTGACCAAAAAAGCATTGGAGAACCATGGCAAGCCAGGCAGCTCGAAGAAGAGGAGCTTGACTTCCTTGACGGAAGCGCATATAAAAACGGCTTCGGTCCACGGTGTTGAGGGTTAAGGGTTTCGGGCTTTAGCCCTAAACTTTAAACAAGAAGCCCTTAACCCTAAAGGGGACAAAAGCCCTGGATTTTACAAACAAAGACGCATCTTTGGGCCGTACCCTGGTAGTCTGTGGGGTTACCAAGCCCACCCCCCCCATGATAAGTTTCAGAGTCGTTACGGTGTAGTTCTATGATTTCGAGACCCCCGCTACCTCATAAGCTCTCTAAATTCGGGTCCTTTTGGAGGAGCCCTTCTAAGGGTGCCGTACTGCAAAATTGGGGCACACAAAAAAGGGACCCTAATTAGCCCTAATTTATTAGCCCTAATTTAGACAACTCGCCACTTACTGGTCAAGCAGCTTCTTCTTTTTCTTCTTGCCTTTCTTCTCCTTTCCCTTCTGCTTCTTCTGCGAGGCTCAGGGCGTCAGTATCCCGTTGGTGCAAGTGCTGTGGTTCGTGGCCTGCCCCTAAACCCCCAAAAAGTACCTTGCAGGCCACGATAGCCGTACCATAATAGGAGCCATTCCCAATTCCAGACACCCTTTCATAAGCCAGTGAAGTCCCGACGCGTAAGCCAGCTAAGTGTTGGGGGTGTCGCTGCGAGGCCAATTTTCCATAAAACCGCCAGGACCTTGCCTGGTGCCAAATCGGTGCGCCATTTTGCGACCGGGCGTGCAAAAGTAATTCCACTATGCGTGGAGGACTGTGACCTTTTGCCATCCTTCCTCACGGATAGAGGGCCCTCTGTTCGCAGCCATTCGACGTGACTCGCAGGGTGTGGGTCAACTCTGCCGGGGAATTCACCTCCAGAACCCACTCGCCCTCCAAGACCCTTTGATGATTCTGCTCTGCTTCGTAAAGCTCGAAGTCCTTCAATGTCAGCGTGAGCGAGACCAAGGCGCTTTGGCTTTCCGCAAAGTTCACGCGCTCGAAGCCGACCAAGCGCTTGCGGAGCACATCTTCCGGGGGACGGAGAAAGAACAACACCGAAAGAGCCCCAGGCGTATCACGGAAGGCCGTTCGATCAAGGCGCAGCTTCAGCTGGCATTGGCTTATGTCCTCCCAGGTGTACTTGAAGCTGTCGTAGGACAAGCCAAAGCCGAAGGGGTAGACGACCCACTGATCCTCCACAAAGCGATACCCACGTCCAGGGTACTTCGCGGATGGCTGGGCCGGGAATCTGTAGTCATTCATGGGAAGGTGCTCCAAATACTCGTCACGGTAGAAGGTCTGTGGCAGTCGCCCACTGGGCGATCGCTCGCCCACCAGCAACTGTGCCAGGGCTGTTCCGCCCTCCTGCCCTGGGTAGCCCATCCACAGAATGCCGGCCAAGTTTGGCATGTCCTTCACATGTGCCAAGTCCAGCGGACCGCCGCTGATGAGGACCAGCACCACAGGAAGACCCCAGGAGGCGGCGGTCTCCAGCAGGCTTTGCTGGCCTTTTGCCAGGCGGAGGTGCGGACGGTCGCAGCCCTCGCCTTCCAAGCAGCCCTCGGCGCAGAGCTTCGAGTACACCGGGCGCATGTCCGGATCTTGAACCTCGTCATCCTCCCCCGTGAGTCCACCCACCACAACTACCGCATCCACGTCCGGCTTTTCGACCTGCGGGCTTGTGCCGCAAAGGCCCATCTCCTCCCCCGGGGTCACCACCTCCGCCACCTTCTTTAGGCCCTCAAGAGGCGACGTCACCTGCACCGGCCAGGCCTCGTAGTTCCCCAACAAGCGCTTTGTAGCATTGCGCAGGGGCCCAAGCAGTGCCAAGCGCAGACCCTTCTGCAATGGCAGCCTGCCGTCGTTCTTGAGCAGCACAGTGCTCTGCAGAGCTGCATCGAGAGCCATCTCTTTGTGCCCTGCTGAAACCTCGCTCCATGTTGGATTCCACCTGGGCTTCGGGTCGAACTCGCCCAGGCGAAAGCGTACACGCAAGGCATCCTTCACAGCAGTCGTGAGCAATGCATCCATGGCACCACCTGGTTCGGCATACCGCTTGAAGAAGCCTGGGCTGCAAGACACGTCCGTTCCCGCATCCAAGGCTGCCTCGATCGTGGCCGCGGGCGTTGACTTGTACTTCTGCAAGGCGTACATGTCGGAAATCGAGTCGCAGTCTGTGACCACCACACCTTGGAAGCCCCAGGTGTCCCGCAGCAACTTGCGCAGAAGGCTTTTGTCGCCACAGGACGGCACTCCATTCACCTGGTTGTAGGCGCACATCACCCCCATTGCCTCAGCCTTGGCACACGCCTCCCATGGCTTGGCATAGGACTCTGCAAAGTCCCTTGCCTTAGTAGCCCAGTAACCATGTTATAATGAGGGCACCCTTTTTTGGTTCGTTACTTTATAAGGGAACCCAAAACCAAAAACAAAAAGGTAAAGGGTACCACTGGGCTGCCATGTTGCTGTGACGTGAGCATCCTCATTGTGACGGCTGAGGTTGGACTGCCCGGGCAAAAGATGTCGCATAGACGACGAAGTGTTCAGCTTTGTCGGTCCTCCTTCAAAAGAGTAAGCTGCGTAGTGCTTGCAGGATGCTGCTGCCTGCGGCCAGCCCCCATCTGCGCGGTGCTGAATGCCCTTGACATACTCCTCCGCAAAGGCCGCAGTGAGCTTGGGGCACTCGCCGGGCGTCTCTTGTCCCCGACCCCACCGGGGGTCGCGGAAGAGGTTCACATTGAACTGCAGCACCAAGCCGCCGTAGCGGCCCTTGTACCGGCCCCACGTCACGCCAATCTCCTGCATGAAGCGGGCCTCGCGGCCGACCGCCTGCCCCACCGCGCGGAAGAGGCTCCGGTTGAAGGAGGCGGCCATGGACACCACCTGCGGGAAGCTGGTGGCTTCTGGCTTCCCGTCCCGCAACAGTACGCCGTGCGCCGCTTCGCGGATGTAGTTGTAGGACTCCAAGCCGAGCCGTTCGATGGCTGGCACCCCGCCGAAGAGGTCGTTGCTAAGCTGCAGGATCTTTTCCTTGGTAGCCCAGTAATCATATTCTAAGAAGATATGATCACCATTCTTATTTTTGGCTTGGTTACTTTATAAGGCAACCTAGAGCCAAAGAAAAACGGGTAGAGGGTACCACTGGGCTACCAAGTGTCCTCCGGCGTCATCTCCTTCACCAGCAACTCCACACGCTCCTCTAAACCCCTCGTGGCATCGCACCAATCGAAATCCCCGCAGCTGGAGATCGAAGTCCTGATGTCGAAAAACGTCTCTTTGCCACAGGCCAGTGCAAGCCACGGTGCAAGCCAAGTCAGCCACATAATGGAAGCCATCTCGAAGTGAAAGGGGGGGGGGTTCTTATGGGTTCCTGTTGTCACCGTCTTTTCGTGTCTCTTCGCGGATAGTTTGAAGCCCTGTTTAGCTCTTGTAGCTTCTGTCCTGCTGCTTGCGAGATGCATGCTGATGCTTGGTCCCTGGCGAAGACAAAGGGAACTCCTGTCGCGTCTTGTGAGGCAGCCCCTGCTGGAATAACCTGAGCCCTTTATTCTTTGAATGCGGCTGATCCGGGGATACCTCTCCCAACGCCAAAAACCCCTAACCCTATACACGCGAAACCCCTAAACCCCGAAACCCCTACACCCCTAAACCGTAGCCCTAACCCCTATAAACCCATAAACCCTGTCCCTAAACTCTAAACCCGAAACCCGAAACCCGAAACCCCTAAAACCCCTAAACCCCCCCAAATAAGGAAGCGGGCACTGCGGCCTTTTCTTTCTTGCCTTTGCTGTCTCCTGGAGCTGGGGAGCTGGGACTTTACAGGGTTTAGGGTTTAGGGTTTAGGGAACCAAAAGACCCCAATTGCGGGAAGCACAGAGACTCCCAAAGGTTTAGCGTTAGGGTTACAGGGTTTACAGGGTTGGGGTTCATGGCGTTCATGGGGTTCACAGGGTTTAGGGATATGGGGTTTGCAGGCTTTGTAGGAGTAAGAGGTTTTTGGGTTTCGGGTCCTTTCTTCTTCTCCTTTTTCGGCTTCTTCTCTGACTTCCCTTCCTTTATCTTTTGCTTCTTCGCAGAGTCCTGCAGATGTAGCTCTGGGAGTGCAGAGGGTTTAGGGTTAGGGTTAGGGCTGGTGCCCAACATCTTTTTTGGAGGTTACCTCTAGGAATCCTACAGGGGGTACCATAGTAAGCTCCTACAAAAAGTCAGCGTCGAGTTCCTCAGGTCCTCCGGTAGGGTTTAACTTCTTCGGATAGGTGGAGGACCTATAAAGTTACAGTCATCAGGATTATGGTGCTTGTGGGTTTTTTTTCGGGCCGGGAAGGGGGGTGGGTGGGTGGGTGGGTACAAGCTGGTACTGACCACATCTGTGAAGCTCTCGACAGAAAGGCGGGGAATTGCGAATGCGAACTCGTCATCAGCTTGCCTGCAACGGCAGCCTACCGCTCGGCTAGTGAAGAGGACAACTTGTGCAGCATTTGTTGGCAAAATCTACACTAGGTGGAGAACAGACTGGTGCCCTCTCATGGCTTGCAAAGACTAGAAGCTGTGGCACACGACCCGAACACTGCATGCCCGCTCACGGAACCCTTTACATGAACTTCGCATAACCTCAACACTGCCTTGTAGTTGCCCTAAACCCTATACGTTACACCCTAAACCCTAAACCCTAAACCCTGAACCCTAGACCCTAAACCCTAAAACCAAAACCCTAAACCCCTCCTCCGGCTCACCCTGGTCGCTCGAGGGCTCCGAGCCATCCGACATGGCTTGGATCTTCTTGCGGCTGAACTCTGAAGGGATTTAGGGTTTAGGGTTTAGGGTTTAGGGTTTAGGGTTTAGGGCAACTACAAAGGTTTTTTGGGGGTAACTTAAACGACAGAGAACCTACAAGTACCAAGAATGGTCATGAATAAGCTAGGCCCCCATGTACAATTGAGGTTTTGGGAATTGGGGTGCAGGGTCTGGGCTGTGTAGGGTCAGTCTCTGGCAGCGGGTCAGGGTTGCTGTAACCTCCTCAGGCTCTTGCCCGCAAAGGACCCTTAGCCCTCAGCCACTTAGGGAACCGTAACCCTAAACCCAAAACCCAAAACCCTAAACCCTAAACCCTCAACCCTAAACCGCATAAGGCTACGGCTTCCTCCCCTGAGTGAAACGTTTGGCCTTGTGTTCTTGCTGCGACAAGGACAGCGCTGCGAAGGAGAATGTGGGAAAGGGTTCAGGGTTTAGGGTTTAGGGTTTAGGTTAGGGTGCAGGGTTTAGGGTTTAAGGTGTTTGGGTTTAGGTCTGTAGGCCTCGGAGCGTGAACATTGCGATGAAAAGGAGGACACCCCAGCCCCAGATGTTCTGTTCCTGCTCCCAGGCACAAGTCAATCCCAAACCCCCTTAAACCCAAAACCCTAAACCCTAAACCCTCTGAATCCTTAACCCAACCCAAACCAATCCTCAGAGCCCAAAAGGGACGAAGCTACGGCCTTGCGGTCCAAGTGCTCCGGCCAGGACCGCTGAACGTTGCCCGCTGCCTTTCGTGTCTCAAGGGGTTTAGGGTTTAGGGTTTAGGGGTTCCCCACTGAATAGCCCGGCGAACTTGCCTTAATTCAGGGGGCCCCTACTGAAAAGGGTGCAACATTAAACTCTGCAGTGTGCAAGGCAGCGATCAGCTTCTGAAATCTCGCTTGGGTCGGGCTACCAGAGGTTCCGAATACCAGCACCTTGGATTAGCACCCCCCCAGGTTTCTGATTCAACTTCCCTAGCTTGTGCCGCCATTTGGGGAAGTTCACGGAAAGCTGGCGCGTGTGGAATGACGGAATTCCACACCCATTTACCGGACCTTAGAAACGCATGTCGAACGCCCCCGGGGTTTTCAGTGTCCAGTTGACCCCAAAAGCGCAAACCCGAACCCTGAATCCTTGCCAACCATAGGGCTGTAGGACTGTAGGGCTTTGGGTCGAGGAAGCACCCCGCATGGCCTCTTGCACTGGGAAGGTCGGCAAAGGGACCTCCAGGTCGAGGAAGCACCCCGCATGGCCTCTTGCACTGGGAAGGTCGGCAAAGGGACCTCCAGTTGTCTGCCAAGACGCGCCGGGATCAGAGGTTTGGGACTGGGTTTTTAAGATTGAAGCGAAGAGACTTTGTGTATGAGTTTGGGGTACCCCTTCGAAACCCCCCCCCCCAAGATACTGCTCTCCCCAAAATAGGCACTCCCCAAAAGGGTACGGGTAACCCGAATTTTCAGAAACCCGCTTATGGCGTGTTAAGGTCCTCCTGCAAATCGGCAGAAGCGTCTTGAAACCAAACCCTAAATCCATAAATCAGATTAGATCAAACAAATAATGGAAATTTATTTTATGGTGCATTACATTTTGATAAAGTATCAACAACAGCACCCCCCCCCCCC